CCTTCTAATGTTCTGGCTAAAGTTTAAATTTCCATTTTAGTGTATACATTTTATTACGTGTACTAATTCTTTTTTTCTTTCAGCATGTTAGAATTATGTTTTCATAGGATTTCATAAAAATATTTTATTTTTTATATTACATCCTCATTTTATTTTCATTGAACCTATACTACCAACAAGTAAATAAAAAGTAATAATTGCTCGTATTCTACTAAAAGAATTAAAGGTATCTGTTTAGTATATATCTGAGTCACATGAGGTACACCAAGTTTAAGTTCCAAAAACTATATAAAACTACAAAGACTAGCATTAATATAACAGGATTCTCTTCGAGTCATCTCAAGAATTTCTTCTCTTCTTCTTGAATATAAGCACTTCAGAGATGTAATGCAGTATTTTTCCTTTTTTATTATTATGGCTTTTGCTTTTCTCTGAAATTTTATACACTTTACCTTGCAGAAACAGGGTATACTGCTAGCTTAACGATTAAAATGGTTATTGCATAGTATCGAAAGAACCGTAGTTTCCAGAACCACTGTTCTTCTAATAGAAAATGTGTCAAACCGTGATTTGACACATTTTCTTTTCGAAGAGATTTTCTTCATCTGAATACACTTCTGTGGGATATCAATACTTAAATAAGCAGTGAACTTCATGCATATATCAGAAAACTCTTCTTTGCAATCATTCAGATAATTCTGCATGGAATGCCTTTGTAGAGTTTTAGATGGAAATCACAATCCTTATACAAGAAGAAATTGGGGAGGAAAAAGAAGAAGAAAGAAAACTAAAAGAAAGAGAAACGAACAGGCATCTCCTCATGCATAGAATAAATGTTACTGAAAATTATGGTAAATGAAAACAAAAGCAGTTTGAAGTATGGGCAAGAGAATAGTTAATTCAGAGTAAAATCGGCCGCCCTAAGAAAGCGAGATTCATACGATCTTAGAATGCATATATCTCGCCGATAAGGCAATTTTCAAGAATTATATATTTGAAGCTCCCGGCATAGTTTCCGATAAGGCAATTGCACGCTTTATTAAAAAAATTTGCATTAATGCGATTAAGGAAAGACTCATCAGTCTTATTGATTGTAGACTACGTATAGCAAAAAGCTCACACGGAATAATCCGAGAACTATAAAAGATTTAGTAACCGTCATAACAAATACGCAACACTTTTCTGTACTTGGACTGAAAACTTAGATTAACAAAACAGTTTTAAGGTTAGGTTTGTGGGTCCTAGTACAAAAGTAAAAGCGAGATTTCTTGAATTTCACATGCTACGTTAGCTCTTAGTTACTTCCTGCGCACCGTCTTCTTTAAGCTTTTCATAGGAACAAAATTCTAACGAAAAAACAGTTTAAGGTGAAAAACGCCAAGAGGCTTAGCTGCCCACAGTCAAAATGATACGATCATCGATTTTATTAGCGAGAAAACATTCTATACTATCGACTGACCATGAAAACCTTACAGTTCGTAGGTATTACGCAAATTATTAATTTTTAAAGTTAATATCCTGACATAAAGATCATTTTGTAAAATGCAATTTTATAATTAAAATTTTATTCTGATCTCAAAAACCATAAACAAAACATAGGTAAACATTGGAAATATTAAAATAATAAGAATAAATGGTGTAATATATAATTCAACACTAAAGAATCTCTCTCTCTCCTAGTTCTTGAGTACTTTGCCATAATCCAAATATCCAATTACACCTGCCCACCAGCGGAGGAGCGGTAAAGTCGTTGAACACTGGTAGTTCGGTCCGAGATTCGAATCCCGCGAACGGGCTGGCTGCATGGACGTTTTCGTGGTTTTCCCCATGTGTAACGTGTATACGAGTTAGTTTCCCTTAGAAAGTCCTCCACGAAGGCATCCCTCCTCTTAGGCAGATAGCCCTCGTGTGCTTTGCCATAATTAAATACACCAAATACACCAATTACACCTAATTTAACTTCTGAAGAAGGGAGGAATTTTGAATCAATACATAAGCAACTCTTACTCCAAATCAAAAACTAATAATAAAAACAATAAGCAGGCAAGACGAGATTCGTGTATGATTAACCCTTTTAGTGCCGAATAACGATACATAGTCGTTAGAACACTTACGGAAAGTCCCGACGACGATGTATCGTTCCGTATCCGATGGCTATTCGCATTGCAAGAGAAGTCTACCTCAAAATAAATTTATAAAACTTTATAAATGGTGTAATTCCATTTTTGTAAAAAAAATTGAAATACAATTGGCATTACTTCATTTGTTCTTTATTTCATAATATGCTGTTTTTTGAATTTTGTAAATTTCATTCTTAGTTTGGCTTTTTAGAGCTTTTTCCTAAACCTTAGTAAATTCTTCAAATTGGCCAGGTATTCTTCGCATAGATACAATAATTTCGCTTGGCACTAAAAGGGTTAAAGGCAAATAAAACTTACCCAGGCTTAAAGTGATGATTAATCAAAATAGCATATTATATAATGTAGAGACATTAGGTTATTTTAAGCAAGGGACATGGAAAATGAGCATTGCCCTCGCCGGGATTCGAACCTCTCGAATACGCGCCGAGTGTGCTGGCCATTACAACATGAAGGCATGCTAAGAAGACCGAAGAAATACCTTATAATAAGCTCTATTAGCAATTGAAACACCTTCCTATTATATCTCCTACTTGCACCTTTTCAAATAAAATATTGAATTAGGAAATCTTTAAGAAAACATTTTGGATATGCTGTGTTATCTGAGAAATGATTGCGTGCCTTGCAATCTGATAAAACGGAAGCTACAATAAAATATAAAAAAAGGACTTTGCACTTTACCTTTTTTATAAATGTAAAAGGAACTCCGTAACCAAAACATTAATTATATCAGGAATATTTTTCAATCATTAATTTTTCACCTTCCCTAAAGGGAATTTTATTATATGAACCTACCTTAAAAAGGCTATAAATACATGTCGTAGTTTGGACAATGGTGCATTCACTTAGAAAACACCACATCGGTTTCAAAAGACACTTTCAAACATTATTAACGGTTAAAAAATATCACCAAACTACAGTAGTGTGTTAAGAAAGAGGTTGCAGACTTAGTAAAATCACAATTACGTTATACATATGCTTCGTAACGTTTCAGTATTTTTACGTTTTAAATTTTCAATAGGTATGAATGCAATAAAATATTCTTTCAGAAGCAAGAGCTGTACAGCTACCACTTGCAGTTTACATTGGCACAATATTTTCTTTCTGTATGGAAAACAAAATCTGATATTTAACATTATGAGGCAAATTTTTGATACCATTTATATCTAGCAAGATGAACTACATGTATGAAATATGAGCAAACTGGCCGTCAAAAAAAATTACTATGGTATTATATAGTAATTGCTCAGGTATTAACAAGTTATGTTATTTAGTAGTTTGTGCATTAACCTTTATTTTATAAAGATGTAAAGTAAATATACATTTTTACCTAGTATCCTGCGAGTTCCCGAGAAAATTCATTTATTGTTTGCAAAATTTACTCCTATTCAAGGCTTTCAAACATCAATTACCGATTTAATGTTTAATAATGTTTATCATTTTTTTTCTTTTTAAAGCTGCTTTAAAGTAAGCAGCTTAAATATCGTCCCCGTATTTCTAGAGATTGAATTAGAATTCATTTTGAGAAAATTTGCTCCGAAAGAAGCGTGCGTAAAATTACGCAGAGGAAACATTGGAAAAAGATCTTCGAAAAATTCTCACTAAACAAATTATTTATCAAATTTTGTTTATACCAAGAGTTGATTATATAAAATTTTTTTATACATATTTTAACTTCAGACTTTTTAAAAAACTTCAAACACCTATTTTACTTCAGTCAGTTAGCAACTACACTTTAACTTAAATGTGTATATATATATATTTAAAAGTAAAGGTAAAACTATTTTTCGTTCGTCTAAAAGAAATACACACACTATTTGAAGAAAATATATATTTATTTCATCGAAAACAGATGTAGATATAATCCAAAAATGAACTGTAAACACACAAAGGAACAACAAACTCTATATCACAAAAGAAAAAGGAAACGGAAAATCTTCTGTGGTAACTAATTCAACTTTTATTATTATGTATACTTCCATGCGATGCCTCAACTAATTGTTCCATTATCAAAAAGCTATAAATATGACGTGAGTGAAAAAAATGAGTAAAAGCATTTCATGAATTTTATTTGTTATTATATTTTTAGATGTTGTTGTTCTTGATTTCCTTTGCATACAGACACCCGTCAAACATATTCCACTCCTTCCCTTCCTTAAGTTTCGCTTTTTCGCATTTTAGAAACTTCCCTGCTCCCTTAACTTGATGGAAGAGAGTTGCCACCTCTCAATATTCATTATTTAACTTTATTATAATTTTAAAACGGAGAAACAGCAAGTAGAAAAATAAAATATTCGAACGGTCACACCTCACACTGTCCAATCATCAAAGCCTGACCCGATTCTGTTAGGTATTTTTAGTTTAGAAGATATTCGCCTACAAAAAGAAAAAAAAAAAAAAAAAAAAAGCAAAATAATAAAAAAGAAGTTTCGAAATCAAAAAATAAATAAGAAATTGGGAGAGACAGAGAAAAAAAAGAAGAACTAGGTCTTTCTCCCTTGCTTGATGCAGTCAGCGCAAAAGGCAGATTTGGGTGTATGTACCTAAGTGTGTAAAGTAAGAAGGAAGGATTCGCTTGGACGGTCTTACGTACATCGGAGAAATCTTTTGCGCTTCGGGCCAACCACATTCAAACACAAATACGAAGACCAGTTCAAAGTAGGCTAGTAAGCGCTACCTCCGCCCCCCTCTCTCCTCTTTATTTCATTCTCCTCTTCATCGTCTGCTGCTAAGTGAACGACCTGTTGCCATCCCCCTTTAATGTGACGTCAACAGGTAAGCCTATTTTTGGTTGGCGGGAAGGGTTCCAGAGAATGCCTTTTTCCCCCCCCCCCTTTTGATATAAAGCAGCGTTAGTTTTAGTTTGGGTCTTCAGTTTTCGGCTCACATTCAATTTGGTTGGACTTCAGTTAACGGTGCAAAAGTAGCGTGTCGTGTTTTGTTGGACTTACTTTTTATCTTGTTATCTCTCTGCGCAACAGACCATCGTCTATACAAGGCTGAGCCCGCGGCCGGCCAAGGATATAAACAGGTTGGTATTAAGTTTGTATCCAACAAATTAATACTGTTTTCAAAAATCTGCCGAAACGTAAGGATACTGTAAAGTAACTGACATAGAAGGATAGTTTTTTACCGATATGGTTTCTTTACGTATTGTGGAATAAGCAAATATTTAGTATATGTAACCATAGCATATTCTATAAGAAACCGTAAACTGTGAACACAGAAATATCAAGCGTTTGTTCTGATGTGTTTCAGAATTTATTTCACAAAGACACAAATTCCCGACGTAATGTAATAAATGGAAACTGCTTGAAACCTATCAAATTGGATGAAATATGCAATGATTAATTATCAATTTGCGATACTCGTATATTTAATTTAAATAGTACGATTCATATTATTAAATCAATTACTCATATTATTCAACTAATTCAACTCAAAGTTATTTTTATAATCACTAAAAGATGCGTATATTCATTAAAAGAACTAAAACCACACAGCGCAAGAAGAATTATAAATTTAGAAAGAAAATTTTTTATTTACATACTTAATAGGACGAAAAATTTTAATTTACAGGATAATTTTACTTTTATTAAAAATTTAAATTCCAAGACATTATAGATGTGTAGTTTAAAGTACATGAAACCAAAGATTTCTATTGTATTTCTAAAGATTTACATTGTTTAGCTTTTTTGCCCGTTAAATTACATCCATAGATAAATATGCATGTAACTTCTTCCAAACACAGAAAAAAGAAGTTAAGTATAAAAAATCATTTTAATGACTGAGACTTATTTTGCAGTTAACGTAATGATAATTTTATACAAAGGAACAGGTTTGTTTCAAACGTAAAATTGTTTGAGTATTACTCCTTTTTCACTCTATAGCATATTTTAAATGTTTTAAATTTCTGATATTCGCTAATGTTTTAGAAAATTTAATTGGCAGAATATAGAAAATTTAATGAACAGAACATATTGCATGTAACGTTACTAATACGGAATACTTGTCAAAAGCTCAAAATAACCATCATAAGCAGGAGGATTGTAGAAACAATTTAATAGATTAAACATGCTGTCTTGATTTCAGACATACGCGTGATGTTACTGAGAACGCAATTAAAATTACATATCCAAAAATTTTTTGTCATTATATAATCTGTGTGAATCTTTTCATGTATCTAAAAGATCTAAAAGAAACTGGAAAAATATCAGTTTGAAGTTTTAAAAGTGAAAATTTAATCTTCAAAATTTGACATATATTTTATTATTTATCCAAGGCATATTCTTTCACAAAGGAAGAACAATTCCTCATCAATTTTAAATATATCATTCATTACTAAAACAATTACGTTGCTTAAATATATGTAAATAGCAAATTTCGAAACTTAAAAAACAAAGTTCCAAAATTCCTTCAGATTTAAAAAAGTCATTTAAATTTTAGGTCAATGTGCTTTAATTGTAACGTGAACTTATTTAAAAATAGCCTTTCTACTAGCTAAGAGAAACGTAGTATATTCCAGTATTGCAAAAAAAATGATTTTTTGTGCATTTTCACTATCAAATGTCTTATGTAGTTTGATAACCTGAATACTTAGTTCGATGTTTCTTGCATTATTTAACAAACATAAAAATGTTCTATAAAATAATACAGAACAGATTCTTCACGGATTTATTCAGTATTCAATACAAATGTATCAGCAAAAGATAAGACAAAAGCAACTGGTTATTCGAAGTTTTGAAAAAAGACAAGAAAAGCGGTATATTACTTGTTTCTATATTTCTTTTTCAAAACCGTTTTTTTTCCAAACTATTCCAGCTTCACACTGGTACAGACTGGTTCTGAGTGATACACGTTAAAATCATATTTAACTTGATAAAAATGCAACATCTAAGAAAACTGAAATAGTCTAAATTTTTGTGCGTTTCAGTACACAATGGCAATAAGATATGAAAATGAACACTTTTAAAGTGCACCACACTTGTAAAAACCATGCTTGTATCGAAAACCAGTCACCTCAGTACTTTTATTATATTTTTTCCTAATATTGCAGACAAATGTGATGAATTAGTTTAAGTTTTAAAATTTGTATTTTATCCACTTAAATAGATTTTCTATAAAATTTCTAAGTATTAAAATAATGCGTTAACTTACCAAAGATCATTTTAAAATAATTTGTAAGCAAACAAACCACGGCTTAAACAATTACCTCTTTTGAATCATATTTGTAAAATTAAGTTTACAAAGTTTTAAGTTATTGATAATTCGTAAACACCTAAGCTAGATATATTATTTTAGAATATTATTTGAAAGTTGTTTAATCTAAATTTCGTTTTGGAAGATGCATACCAACGTTCAAAAACATTTGAAAAACATATTGCATGTAACGTTACTTTTTGATTAAAATACTTAACAGCAAAATCATGGCAATAGAAAAATTTATAAAACTACCTAATGTTAACATAATATAACCTAATTTAACTGTTCGTCCATGTTAGCAACTATTACTGTCATTTTTGTAAACGAACATAGACCTCAAAGTAACGGAAATCTTTTACAAGTTACGCAGTTGTCATCAGAAACAAATAAATACATTTTTTAACTCACGTGAGATATTAAAATATTACATTTTTGTTTCAAATTGTTTCGAAAAGCGTGTTTCCATGGAATATGAATGGACGCTTAGCATATATTTTTAATAAATTGAGTAACATTAATAAATAATTAAAATATAGATTAATAACTTGTTTAATATTTAAAAACTACATCATTTTATAGTTATATTGCAAATAACTTTGCATACTTAATTCGTTTTAATTAGTTTATATTTTAAGAATATATCTGCTTTAATTTCATTGTATAAATTCTGTTATTAGATTTTATCTGATAGTAGGAAATGATAGAGTTTATTTTTATTTACATGTTATGAATATTAATTTTTTATCCTGATATAAATACTTTCTTCTTCGTCAAATTAAAATTATGTTTTCTGTAGAAAATATATAAACATATGCTCTAAATCTGAGTATCGTTTTCTGGCTAATTTATTGCTCCGTATTTATTTAATATGAATAAAAGTTCATTCTCCCATTGATCGAAAAATTTTGGTAAAAATATGTTTCAAATTTTTGTACACTTTTCTTGACTTTTCGCCTAACAATAAAATAGTGTATTTAGCAAAGTATTTTCTGGATTGAGAACTTCTGCTGACTTCTCTCAAGCTCTTAATTTTCACAAAGCGTATGTTATTTGAGAGTTCCTGTTTTCTTTGTGGGCCCACCTTGGTTTTCCCCATGTGTAACGTGTATACGAGCCAGTTTCCCTTAGAAAGTCCTCCACGAAAGGCATCCCTCCTCTTAGGCAGATAGCCCTAGTGTGCTTTGCCATAATTAAATATACATACATACATACATACATATTTTGTGGGCCCACCAGTGGCCGAGCAGCAAAGTCGCTCAACACTGGTAGTTCGGCCCAAGGTTCGAATCCCGCGAACGGGTTGGCTGCATGGGCGTTTTCATGTTTTTCCCCGTGTATAACGTGTATACGAGAAAGTGTCTCTTAGAAAGTCCCTCCACGAAGGCATCCTTTCCCTTAGGAAGATAGCCCTCGAGGCACTGCCGTAATCATATAAACCAAACCTATTTATTTTGTTAAAACACCCATTGAGAAATGCAAAGTAATCTGTTCACTTACTCTGGTCGAATACGTATGATAAGATTATATTCGTTTGATAATAATAATCTGATATTAAATAAGCACTTTGTTAAACCTTACTGCTAACTGTATGGGTAAGAAAACGGTTATAAATGCAACTACCATAGAAGCGAAGGTAGAAATTAATAAATGTCATACTAGACACACATGGAAAACATAATTTTTGTTTCAAATGCAGTAAAGAAATAAAAGTAATTTTCTACGATTTTAAACTTAAACTAATTCATTTCAACAGCAGTTTATTCAGGATCATACTATCAAGAATTTTTAGCTACTTCAAAATCTTTTTAATAGATTTCGCTCTTCTGTATACATTCGTTTCCGTAGGATAATCATCTGAGTTCTTTATAAGTCTTAAGTGATTTGATTAATTTCCAAATAGCACTGTTATATCAAAGTGAACTGGCAATTTTTTTAGATGTTACCCCCGGATTTTTACATTGCTTAAAATTTTCAAAATATAACCTTATACTTCTGAAATGTGAGTTATAATAAACTAGCACATTTAAAAATGTTGAGAAAATGAAAACAGATGTTACATTATATGAAATTTGAGTGAGGATAAATATATTTAACTTGAACCGTTTGTTTCTATCAATTTTTTATCTAAAAATTCTAAGATAAATCTCCCAATTTAATGCTGCAGAAATTTAAAATATTTAATTTATTATAGGTATAAACATTTAAAAAACAACTGTCTGTAATAAATGAAACCTACCTCAGAGTTTATTATTTTAAACATTTTGGGTTTACAATAATTTATGGATTAGTTTCAGTAATATTAATCTTGAAAATCTGTGTTAATTCCGATAACGTTGTATTATTAATCGAAAAAGAGCAAACAAAATTATTTTCTTCGGTCATTTCTAGTTAAATCCACCATCTAATTTGAAAAAGTCATTCTTTGGAAAAGTTTTATTATTTCTGCATAAGCTTTGCTCTCAAAACCTGCCGCAGCATTATAGATGGAAAACTTGCTTTTTGTGAATTTTAAATAATCTTGATTTTAATTGCCTCGGATATATTTTAATATTATGTTAAAATTCATATGGAATGCATTTTCAATACAAGTGGAGCTGAATTCATTTATGTATTAGTGATTTAAAATAAAATCGCAGAATATTGTTTTTCACTCCATTTTAAAATTACTTGATTTAATAAAAAAAAACAACTTTAAACTTTTCTTTTTTCGTGTTTGAGAACGCAGTAAGATATTACGAACAACTGTTAAGTATAAAATAATTAGAAAATATAATTTTTGTCTTTTTTCCATTTCTCTTTTTTTTTTTCAGTTGTAAGGGTGAGTTAAATAAAACGATATATCTGCTTTTTTCCAAAGTCATGTTAAGGTATCGTTTACAATTAAACTGCCGCATAAAACAACAAATGAAAAGAATCCCACAAATACAAAGTTCTCAAACTTTCTTAGCGTGACGTTTCTCAGCAATAAAGTATTTTACTATAAAAAGAAGCGAGCATAATATAATAGTACAGTAAACAATAAACATAGCACAATAAGCATAATGTAGCAAGACCTTTACCCTTCTCGTCTCGATGTACAGGTGCAGAAACTAAGCATATTCACAATTGAAAAAACATTCGCTGTTAGCGAGGTGCAAATGATTATTCTCTACGTAAATAGGTTATAAATGCATTAAAAGTTATTTTATTAAGCAAGCAAAGAATTAAAATCACGACTAAGATATATTATAAATTATGTGAATTAGAAGTAATTTTAATTAGAATAAATACAACTAGTATTAAAAAATAAAATAAACGTATAAAAGAAAGGCAATTGGCTGGTAAGGAGCAAAAAAGAGAACCATTCCAGTCAATATGTGGAGAGCCCTAGTAAAAAAAAAAAATGCTCTCATGCAAATCAGTCGGATCTGTCAATAAATGGATTTTAATTCGTAAAAAAGGCTAAAAAACCTTTTGCTAATCTCTTACTAGAATCTGCGATATTTATGTTTCATTTTACGTCCATTCATGTGTATAAATATGTAACTGAAAAATTTCTAAAAGCACAGCGTTTTAAGTTCTTTGTAGTGTTCTAGAAAACAGAGTAATTGGTGTGTATTGGTGTATTTAATTATGGCAAAGCACACGAGGGCCATCTGCCTAAAGGGAGGGATGCCTTTCGTGGAGGACTTTCTAAGAAAACAGAGTAAAATAAATACTCATAATATATTCAGGCTTTATTTTTAATAAGTAAATTCTATTTTTAATAGAGTTTGTTAAATCTGTTTTGTTTGTTATTCAAAAGGAAGTAAAATAAAGCGTATTCTACCACTTTTCTCGTTTTTAAAAAAAATCAGCATTACAGCAGTATGAACAATCAGTCAGTGAGCAGGTTCCACTCAAAATTGATAAAAAAAATAGTTTTAAGGGAAAAAGAAGTCTATGATTTTGAATTTCATGAAGGGTAACTGTCTTAAACGCGGCGGTTCCAGACGCCCCCATCGTAAAGAAAGCATGACAATGTTCGTTACGCAATCACGGTTACAGTTAGAACCATTGTGTCCCAAATTAGCACAACGGGCAGTGTCTTTTCTCTGCGCCCATTTTTGTTGGGGAAAAATAAATAAACGAACACATCAACTAGCAATCCATTGGACCATTCAGCGTCAATGCCCCTATTTTACTTTTCCTGTTTATGATGCCGACTGATAGAGCATTAAAATTTTATTTTTAAAATTCTTTTTTGTGATTATTATTAGTTCTTTTTAGATCGCTTTTGCTGGCTTCATTCTCAAGCCTTAGTTTTCCATCTCGTCTTTCTAGGTAGAATTCGATAGCTGTCCATTTAGTTGAAAGATTTGCCAAACCATTTTTTTCCTTTTTTAAATGCATGGAATGTAGACTAAAGCTAGATTTTCCTTAAGTTGTTCTATTTTTGACATGGAAAGTAAAGATAAATATAGAACGCCTACTGAGGTTGTTTTTAATCACAAGGAAAATTCTAATTTTGCACTTACATGAAGATCAAAAGACTGAGTAATTATTTTATCTGAGAAAGGAAAATGGCATTAACAAAAGAAATGTTCAATATTTTCCGCCAAGCTTCATTAAAACGTAAAAAACAATGTTATACATTTTAATAATCTTAATTCTTTTAATAATCATTAATTGCTTAATTATAGATTTAATTATATTACGGCAGTACGGAAAGGAACAATATGATTATAAAAAGAATTTATAATAAGCTTAGAAAATAGATATTTTTTTTTAATTTAAACTTAGATTCTCTTAAAATTTGAAGTTTAACTAGTAATATAAATCGCATTTCTAATTTTAAATAGCTTTCCATAAATTTAATTTAGGTATATTTTTTAAATTTAAGCATTATGAAAATAAAAATTTTACATAAACGCAGCAGTTATTGGATAAATGCAATAATCATTTTTACTTTAAATTAGACAAGATATTTTATGCAATTTAGTCTAAATTTTGAAGTTGAATTGTATGCAGTTTCAAATGTCTGTTTATATTACTATGTCCTCAATGTCAATTTTATCATTTTAAAATATAATGGAAACATATTTGTGTAGTAGCAAAAACTTCTTCAGTACCATCGACTATTTTACGAAATTTGATCGTTTTCCTTACATGTTATTTATTTCTAGTTATTTAAAGGTAATACATGATTCCTTAAAAACCAAATGACAAAAACAGATTAAATATATGTTGATTCGAAATTTTGGCGCCTTTATCTTAAAATTTACATTAATTAAAAAAAGGTTAAATTATTTTCCTGCTAGTGCCACATCTATTAATAATTAATCATATTTTCAAGAAAATCATATAAATAAGTAGTTAGTAAATTATACACATCTACAGTTCCTATAATATCACAAAATATGTTCTGATACGTAGACTCTGGTTAGTGAGTATACAACACTTAAATTATAAATTAATTTACAGTAATTCAAGGCGTACTTTGAAATAAATGTAAATTTTCCTTCATAAAAAAAGCATATAAGAATCAACACCAAGGAAAGCATTTAACTCAGGGCTTCATTACTGCGGTATTTTTTTTCCTTAAATTTTAAATGAAAAATGTTATATAATCAAACGACTCATTTCCTGAATCCTGATGATTATCTCAGCGCAGATTCTCCATAAGTCAGCTTCTTTTACGTCGCATGGTGCTTGCAGTGAGAGTAAGTTTACAGTAAAATATCGCACTGAACACCATACTTTACCTCCGGTGGGAAATAAACATTTTCAATAAAAGTGAAACTATGCATCACATGATTCCTATCCAGATTTCGCATAAAATAAGGCATATTACTTAAATTAAATGTTGGGAATTTAAAATTTTATGAATGATGATATTATTTAAACGTAGTAAAATGTAAAAATAAAATGTAGCATTACTTCTAAAAAAGCAATGTAATATTATTTCAAAAATGTAACAAAATGGCTCAGGATAAATAAAAATTGTTAATAATCTAATAATTAAAAAATATAAAAGTGTAAATAATTCTGACTATCCTCTGAACTTGCTTGAATTTAGAACCTTTGAAAACGACAGCTAAAAATAGATCATCTTTACAGAATGCTAGGCAAGATATAATAGTACACTCATTATCAAGAATGTTCTAACAGTATGAACTCATTAAACGTAATAACATCATCACAAAAACTATTAAATAAAGATACATGAGTAAGTATAAGACATAATTATCATCATTTAGATCTTGTATTCAAATGCAAGATATGTATTTGCAGTCTTCTAATCCAAACCTTTTGGAGGTTTTTATCGTATGGATAGTACTTGAAGAAGACAGTTATAATACTTTCAAGTTAATTTGATCAAAATCATCTCTTTTGCTTAAAACTAATTAGCAATTAACACCATCAGCACAAAGTAGAAAAATATTGTCTTTATTTTGTAGCAGCAATTCTCAAAATATCTTCTCAACCCAATCTAGTTGACAATCAATGAAACAAAAGTCTTCTAAATTCTAAAACATCATTTTTACGCTGTCATATTTATGGTATTTAAACAGCTGTATGTAAGTGATATAAGGACTTTAAATATATTTTATTTAAATTAAAAAGAGCTACAAGAAAGGGAAGAGACCTAACTTGGATTTATTTACTGATTTATAGCTAAATTAAATTAAAGAAATAAATGAATAAAAGTGAACTAATTTTATCTCCATAAATGTAGCGATTAAGTTGATTCAATTTTATTTCACAATGAATACACCATTCTTTACATGCAACAAATACTGGCGAAGGAAATGTTACTCACATTCAGGAAATATGTACATATGTATAATATTAAAATAATCCAAAAATTTATTTCCAATAGCAAATTTCGTATTAGCAACTACTTTAATTCAAGTCCAAACAGATAAAAAATGCAAAAAGAGTTTTTTCGACTGATTTTTAAAAACTGAAAGAGTAATATATCTATAAGCCTAATCATTTTCAAATAACTGGAACATCGTCTCAGCGCAATAATACGCAATAACATTAGTCAGAATATTATTATCATACTTTTCTGTTATTAATGGAGAATTTTTAATATGTTTCTGATGGGCAATATCATGCTTTTACTGAATCAGTTGTTTTGTATATTTATAGTTATTCCATGCGAACATAAGCAAGACAATCAACAGTCATGAAGTTAGCGTGGATGTTTTGCCTACTCCTTGCGGGTAAGTATTCTAGCATAAAATTATTGATTATTGAAGCCAACATTGCATTTATTTATATACATGAGTATTTTTTATGATACGGCTATTAACTTCTTCAAAGATTACACTTAAATTTTATTTCACTGTTACATTTAATTAAGATTACATTTAATTTTATTATAAAGATACATTGAATTAAAGATAATATTTAATTTTATTTCACTGTTAATACTCAAGCAGAGTTATTAGTTTAATTTAAATAATCCTAATTCATTCATCAGACTATGAATATTCATATATCAACATATTTATCTAAATTAGCTTTTTAAAGCAGAGCTTGCTTTGTGTTTTGTACTTTACTAAAGAATCGCTTGGATATTCAAAACTATCCGATCCTCCCTCTATAACCTTCGCACATTTACTCTTCCTTGCGTTGATTTTACTTCCAGTCTCCTCATTCTAACTGCAGCTGTTTCTGCTAAGAAATGATTCTACTGATGAGTTCATATTTTAAATTTAACTTCGCAATTCTTTTCTACAAAGACCATTTTTATTTTAATGACTCCAGAAATACGGTTTTATACCAGCAGTTTAAACCGTTAGATCGTACTGAGGGCAAAATACACACTACATTTGTATAAACCCCTTAATACACGTTAAAAATCTTATCATCACCGTCTGCTTATTTCCACTTAATTAATGGGCTTCTTATTTAAGCCTAAAGTTCTTCAAAGAGAAGTTAAAGTTCTTTTTTTTTCTTAAGTCGATAAAATAAATTTGTATATTTGAGAAGAATTAACATTGTTACTAAATAGTTGATTAACTCTCTGAAAAATCAGCCTTATTCAGTTAGTAATCATGATGCATATGCGCTTCCAAATAACTGGTAATGCTCACTTAAAGGAAAACGAATCAACTTCTTTATGAACTCTGTTTATCAGTATTTCTTCTGACACACTAAACTGTGATAAAGTGCTGATAGAATTAAATGACAATGTAATGAAATGTACTCATATAGCACTCTCTATTCCTACGGCTTTCCTAAAGCTCATAAACAAGAGGACTTACTCAACTTTCCTCTCTTTCAATGCACCAGTGTATTGCCCAAATAGTAAGAATGCTGAATACTGGAACTTCGATCGAAGTTCAGATCTGGCGAATGGGCAGCTAAAGTGGGTATTTTCGGGAGATTACATGTACATGAATACACGTCCTCTTTCTTACGAAAATCCACTACGAGGTATCCTTACCCTTAGGAAAATATTCTTAGTGTGCTTTCCCATAATCCAAATAATGCAATTTTCTATTTTGTATCGTTTCGAATAGATAAATACAGATTTGTGGATCGACTTTTCTTTTTATTAAAAACTTTTAAAAGGAAACATGGAAAGCCTGTTTAATAAAATTAAAGAAATTAAAGGAAAAGAAAAGAATATAGTATTTTGACGTATCAATGAGAAACAAATATACAAGTAGTATTTTGTATTAAATATTTTAAAGATGCCAGTTTTATAAGATTAGATAATTTTAAATTACTTTCAACAAAACAGTTTCAGTTAAGTGAATAAAATGGCTCAACTGAATTTTAAACATAATTTTGCGTTCATTCACTTTAAAGACTTTGTTTCACTTTTCATCTGAATCTGTTGCTATCCGGCGAAATGTAAGAGAGTTAACCTTCAAATTTAATCTCTCTGGTATTGATTAACCAATTAAGCTATTTAAAAGCAATAGATGTAGCTTTATTAATTTTTTACCTTTTAATCTGACTATTTAAGTAAAACTTCATTTAATTCATATATCTAATTAAAAATACAGTAGTTTCACAAAATAATTTTATTTACTTTTTTACTCTTTAAGTAAACAGAAGACATATACTGCTCCCACGTTAATCTAAATGCATATTCATCTAATATCCTATAAAATATTTCGCTATTTCACTTGGGTTATCTCTATTGTTAATTTCCACTCATAAAACACTTGAAATTTTAAAGTCCTCTTGAGCTACCGTTAAAATCTAAACCTATTTAGATTATTTTTTGTTTCAAAAGTGAAAGACTTGAAATAAAACAGTGTACTATGCCTATTTAGACAGCAATTTACATTATTTTTGGAGTGAAAAAAAAAAACCATCCACGAGATGCAGGTCGACTACATTCCATAAAAGCTGCGCGCTCTTTCCCTGTTAATAAATTCTTTGCTTTGAACGCTCAATAACATAACGTTAAAGGAAATATTAATATTTTCCTTTTTATCGTCAAAAGCGAAAAGTCTGGATTTTAGCCTCAAACTGAAAATGGTATTAATATATCTCTTTCATAAAAACGAATTATCGTTAAGCATACTGATTCAAGTAAAGCAAACGTGAACTAACCATGCAATTCACATGCATTCTATAGGGATTCGAGCCCGTGTCTGATTACCAGAGTTCATTTGCTTTATTCACTCAAATATTGTTGGGAACAAAGTGTAAGATAATTGTATTAATATTTTTCTAGAAATATTTCCGTTTATAAAATAATTTGTCACATTACGGAGTTTTATAACTGTAGATTATGAAATTTACTCGTGAAACAGAGATAGCGTAAGTTCAGACTCGCTAAAAGCAAATTTTCTATTTCTTTTTCTTTTGCGTGCATATTTATATTTCTGAGTTTGCTTAGTTAAGTTGCAAGAATTTGCCTCTTACAACCAAAGAAAACATAATATTTCATTCGTGACAGTGATTTATTCACAAAAGTATTTAAAAATAGTACATACAGAATAGAAATAAGTCTTCAATTTATCAAAAATAAATATCTTACAAGTAAAAGCAATCGAACTGTGAAAAACAGGGATACAAATCTGAGAGGAGTTCGTTCAAGGAGGAGAAGAGGAGAATGTTGAAGAAACATTTATTTGACAAACAGAGCACATCAATGATTTTCTAGATCTCGACTTATTTAGCAAACGAAAGCTTAAATGATCTAATTTCTTACTTTTGTGTCCGATCAATCCTCTTGACACGGTTGTTTGCTGCTAAACTGGAGATACTGCCAAATTTCAGAGTCAAGGGCAAATTTTTCTTGTTTCCTAAGAACAACGGTGGAACTGATAGCTAGCATATATATTCAGTCGGATTATTTTATTGATGACCGTCGTATCAAAACAAAATCGTAACTGACAAATGAGTTTCTGAAAACAGGTTAAATGGTTCAACGTAAAATAATCTGATGTAAATTTCATGATGTTATCGTGAACTGTAGAACATTTCATGCTTCGATTATTTTACAATTTTTTATTATTATTAAACATCAGCTTTGAGGCAAATAGGGAAAAATCTTTAATTTGTAATTGAACCATTGAAACATTTTCTTTGAAGGCATAAAAATATCAAATTTCAGAAGCTATAAAAATTTTTATTGAAGTCCACTGCCGAGTGAACCTGCCTATCGTATATTAATAAGACCAGGCCTAAATTACGAATCAAATGTCCACGATCACGGTATACATACACACACACACACACACACACACATATATATATATATATATATATATATAAAGGAAAGGAAGTTTAAAACCTAGTAAAAGTCGTAAAAACTAATTAGGTCTTCAAACTAGGTCTTGATTAACTAAGTTATTCAATTTTTAATTCCTTTTTACTATTTTTTATTATATATATATAAAACAAAAAATCTGAAAGCAAGCCTCCAATTTTAATTGGCTATAACCTCTTTTATTTTTTTATTTAATATGCGGACATCCTCACTCTGTCTCACAAATAGCGCCATAATTCTAAACTGCGTCATTCAAATTAATCATGCGATCATACGTAACGCTTAATGCAGATGCCTCTTGTCCAATCAAAGTAATTGTAAACTAAAACTTAAAACTGAAAGTTTTTGACGCCCCCTTCTTTCTCTGAACCGATGCGTCACTTTTGCTTGTGTTTTCTTCTTGGCCTGATGCTTTGCTGAAATCATCCATGTGCTGCTATGTTTGCTTCTATCGCAATAGTATAAAAATTGTTTTGAAAATAGGCACCACTCGAGTGCCAAGTGAATTGTGGCCACAAATGAGAATTTAAATAAATATGGAATTTAATCCCGCTCAACTGCTTCTTTTTCAAAATGGATGGACGCTCTAAGCATCAAGTATCTTCGTAATCAGCATTTCTACACATCTACATCTCAATGTTCTTTCATCAATACTTCTCTAAAATTTGCTTATTATTACATTTATAGCCCGACATGATTGGATTACGTGCTACTAACCTCAATGAAACACTTATTCTTCAGTTGGATTTCTGTAAAATAGTATCTGCAAATTCATCATTTTAAAAATTAGATATCATCGATTATTCAAATATGTTGTGCTATCATTACATAAAGTTTCCGAAGTAAATTTCAAATTTTATTCAAATACTAAAGTCGGGTCAAAATATTAACTTTTGTAAAGATATTTATCGCTTTAATGCGCTATTAATGCAATTTGAAGAATTTTTCAAGGAAATGAATGAAAACTTTAAATGGCAATTTTGTGGAAGCGTACTGGAAAAAATAGTTATCAGCAAAAGTTAAAAACGTAAAAAAATGATCGTTGTTAATGTAATCAAAGAATAAATTAATTATCAGCTAATAATTTTTCTTTTATTTTATTTCAAAATATCTAAAACTGAAAAGATTAAGAAGCAATATACTTCATGTTTTAACAAACTAGCCACTTGCGTGGCCAGCAAACTGAAATAGTTATAAAAGAGAAAAATATATATAATAATTTTAGTGAACCGATCTAGTGTAATTTCACGGATCCATCTAATCAATAATAATAAAAGAGATGAATTACTGCATTTATTATTTTTAAATCATATAGTTTGTAAATCAGTTACTGAGAGATTAAAACTGAAAGGAAAGATAAACATTTTACGCTTTGCCGAATAACAACACATTGGCGCGTGGAAGATAAAAATATTTTATTTCGGGCAGTGGGAATATATTTCTTTTAAATCGATGAATTCTTGTATTAAATTTAAAAGACAAATAACTTATGCTTTCCCAAGTGGTAATTCATTTCTTTTAAATCCCTGAATTTTTGGATTAAATTTTAAATATAAGTATTTTGCTAGTAAAAACACATTACTTTTACATCGCTGAGTAGGTTAACCAAAATTTCATTAAGTTTTCATTAAATATGAAATAAACAAAAAGAAAACTAAAAAATTCAAATTTAGGTTTCGACACACATTTTCCGTTGGAGGACTTATATATGTTCAAAATTTGGTGGTTATAAGTGCAGCTGTTATTTCATAGCGCCAGAAGCATTTAGACATTCGTACAGATTTTTCATTATTATATAATAAAAAGTTAAATTAACCTCATTGCCTTAAAATGATACAAATTTAAAATAAAGTCTTATTTTATAAAACAGCAATTTTTAAATGCAGTATTTTCCTGAAATTTTCAGAAAATGGATTTAAATAACAGAAAACTAATTATACCATAACAAGGAAAATTGAATAAATAAATGGTTTAATACTAAATTATTCTAATAAAAAATAATTAAATTCATTAAAATAAAGTGTCAGATGCAGAGGCAAAAGCTTTAAAATATATTTACATACATACGCATATGTATATTATATTTGCAGTTACAAAATAAATGAGCATATGCGTAAATTATTTATTTTCTTAATTTCCTAGATATTGATTTCTTTTTATTTTAAACATCAAAAAAGTAAAAACTTGCTTTCGGAGTAAAAATTTAGGAGAAAAACTGTTTTTTCAAATCTAATTAAATAAAACTATGCAGTTTAGATAACAGTTTTATTTTATTTATTTATTTTCTGTAACTGAAAACACTGAATTAAAGACTGCAAGGCTTTTGAAATGCGTGAAAAAAATTGGTGTCTTAAATTTGTTTTACGAAAGGAATGAAACGGGGAAAAGAAAATCAGATACAACAAATGTGAGTAAAAAAACACTGAATTATAAGTAATGGTTCTTACTCAATGTGACATGCCACCGAATGGCCGGTCACTTGCTCGTTGAATAGTGGGAATGGCCAAACCCACGATCATTTATTTAACCCGTTTCATCACTGAGAAGATTAGTGAGGATGCCCTATAGAAGACATCGATATTATTACCATGAAGGGAGGATCACATTCCTACAGCCAAGCCTTACGCAATAGCTAAATCCGCAAATTGGTTTCGGACAAGCATTCAGCCTCTGTTAACCATTATACCGTTTCCAGCCACTCTAATATTTGAAATAATGGAATCATCAGAAAATAACACTGGAATAACTATTAGTGTAATTTTGTGAAAAGGTACAGTTATAACACCTTATTGGACTGATTATCAGACTACGGTGTTTTCCTTAAAATTCCTTTCTGAAAATTATATCCAACATATATACGCTACTAAACATTTAAAAAATTAACCATTATCTTTCAGTAATTAAGATACAATAACACACCGAACAAGTATTAATTTAGAAATCAAACAACAAAAATCAGCGTTATATTTTCAATGTTTGCATTAAACTGTTTACATTAGAATATATATTTACTTAATTTCTCTGCTTTATATGGTATTAACTGTTGTTGTGACAGATTCTCGAAGGGAGTACGGAGACCCAAGTACTGCTTTTGTGCAGATGCCCCTTTTCCGTCTGCAGCTCCATAGATAAAATGCACGAATTCAACGTTCACGCAGCAGTGCATACCGTTCGAAATTCGCACAGGACATAAAGATTTACGCCATCAGAATGCTTTTATCTAAGCTTAACAGCGCCCAGTACTACCTCAACGCGCCAATTTTTCACACTCCTTTCATAACGAAATCTACTTATTTCTGGATCCTCTACATTTTTTTCAGATACTTCTAAATCATCCTTTATATGAGGCGGTCTTATAACTGGACCACCAGACTAGATGTTCAGTGTCTGCCTGCATTGCTGAAAACTGAGGAATAAGTTATATAATATTTCCTTTTCTTATTGAAGCCATTAAAATGACATTTATGAGATTCTATCGATAGTGTACCTCTTGCCTTTGAAGAGCTTTTATGAAAGTTTTAATAATATTCGGATTATTTAATGTTTATTTCTTTTAAAATTCATAGAATATGAAAATGAAATAATATTCTAATTTTAGGTACCTTCATCACAAAAGGTAATTTTAGATTTTTCATCACAAAATCGGCCTTAAGAGAAAGGTTGGAAGTCCTTAGGAAGTCCTCAAAATTTATTCAGTGAGAAATCCTAAAATCCAGTATCATCAGCATATCTCTACATGCTATTTTTGGTATAATATATCTTATCTTAGAAGTTAATGATACAAAATATACTTTTAAAAATAAATTACGGTGTTTTTATTTCTACGTAAACTTTTGCAGTGCTAAACCAACAATTTATTACAGTTAGGAATAAATTTCTTCATGATATTTTAGAAAGAATTCTAAATAGTCACTAAGAAAAAAAGTAAGTTAATTTTAAATGACATTTCTTGAAATTTAGAAAAATTTCCAAGAGATAAAAATTTCACAGAAATCTCTTTTGTCCAAATTTTAAAATAATGAATTTAGCTACTCAAAATTCAGTTAAAAATTTCAGCCTTTTTTCTCCAAGGCCTTCCCCATTTCTTTACATTACCAAACTTCAACACGCACACAAATAGTCTAATATCACACAAAAATATATTTATAGATTCGTTTTAAGGAATTTTCTCCTTTCTTACTCCGTGACTTTGTGATGTAAGAGAAAAGCACGTTCAGCTAGCAATCGGAAGATCTGCAGTTCAAATCCCGAAGAGGGCTTCATTCATTTTTCATATTTCTTACTTCGAAATGAATCTAATGACTCTACTGTCTAACTACTCAGTCTAATAACTCTACTCTCTCTCTCTCTCTCTCTGAAATGTTATCGGCGATAATTCGTCACCCCAGGATTTAATGAATGAGTTCCCTTCTTCCCAATATTATCCTTTAAGTGGGAGAGAAAATAAGAAATGTTCTTCTTCCTTATTGCGTGTCTTCGTGATTTAATTAGAAAGCAAGTCCTGCTAGCAATCGGAAGGTCCAAAAATCGAATATGAGCGACAGCGTCGTTGGTTTTTCCCATTTCCTACTTCAAAATAAAATTAAAGACATCATCAAATTAAAAGAATTCCTTAAACTATGATTCCTTCATAATCGCAGAGATTGTTTCTAGATTGTAATAGTAATTTATATCTAATTTCTTACAGGAAAGCTTTCCCTGGCTACCCCAGGAGAAGAGAGGGCCGCAGCAGAGGCCAATTTGGTAAGTATCAGCTCCGTATTTACCAATTTCGTGGATCTTCTCGTCCAGAAATTCGTTTTTCTTGTGAATCTTTATCTTGCACGCCATCGTCGAAGAACTAGGCCCTCTTCTTCAGAAAAAGAATAAATTAATCCTTATATTTTTTGGAAAACAGCCAAAGATTATCATCTTTTTTTTATTTTCTGCGATTTTGCAGTTTAAGGTTGCTTCATCGTTTTAGTTGATAAAACTGTACTTCAATTAAGTATTTCATGCATAGCACTCTTTTTCTATTCCCATCTCTTGACAATGAACTTACTTTTGAACGACATGGAATGCAGTTTTAGAAGCTTAAGTTTTCATGAATACTTATACCATTTACATTAGTATCCATTAATTATATAAATTTGTTTTTTGAGGAAGAGTCCATGAATCATTTTAATTAGTTTGATCCCTCTGATTTTAAATGAACTGATAAAAAGTGAACCTGCGTTATAACGGTTTTGAGATAACATATAAAATAAGTTATGACAGATATAACTAAAACAATGCTTTGGTCTTTAGATATTAATACCGGAAGGAAAACTAAACATAAAGAAAGGAGAAGGAAATTGCTTTAGATTAAGAAATAATGCCTCTGGCGAAATTTTTATAGAAATAGGACAGAGAAAGGGAAGAATTAAAAGGAAGTTCATTTAGTTCACAAAAAAGGCCTTTTCTCCAGCTGATATCAAATGACAGCTATTTTTCGTATGTAGTTCAAAGATTGTTCTTGGATTAATAAGTTTGAAATATAAAATGATAATAACGTAATACAAATAAAACAAGAAAATTTCAAGAAATGAACCTGCTTAAGTATTTGAAACTTATAAAATGTAAAGAGGGTAATAATTTAAATATTCTTACTGATGACGCAAACTTTTAATTAACTATCTCTTATCAGTTGAAAAAAGCATAATGTAAATTTATTTGAAATAAAATTTAATTAGCTAACACATATTTAAGTTTAAAGACAGAAATATGCATCAATGAGGAAGGAAACAGCTTAATATTACAGGAAGGAACGAGACTAAGAGCAATGAAACATTTCCGGCATTTTTTGCAAAAGCGACAGACACGCTACATTTCAATACGCATTTTATGCGGAAGAAACATAGATTTTCATGGCATTCAAGAAAGAATGAAGAGACATGAAATCTGAACTTGGATCTAGATGCAGTTTAAACAATGAACATCGAAATAATAATAAAGAAAAAAGGGCTTCTTCCTTTAAGTTAAAAAACATATTGAAAAGCTTTGATAGTACCGAGAGACATAAATGTCTGACACTAAGTGACAACAATAGGTTTAGCTTTCATCCACAGAGAAATCATTCTTCCAGCGGGTAGCTCCTTTCAGGCTAAAAGTTGAAACCTTATCCTTAGCTAAATGTTGATTCAACTGTGTTTTACGCTTGATGAAAAAAACTGAATGAAAAGTTAGTTATGCATGATGAAACATAGAAGACCTGTAACTGAAAAGTATTTTTCAGAATATTCAACGTAGCTTCCAAATAATAATAATAGTAATAATAAATGGCTTTTAAATATTCAGCTAATAAGAAATGTATCTTCTAATTTGATTCACTCGTCGATTATCGTTATAAAATCATCGCATTTGGGACGCACAGAAAATGGCAGATCTATAGCTTATATAAGTAGAAATAGAACAGAATAGCTAAAAATTCCATTGTCTTCATATGAAGCATGCAAGCATTTAAATGTCCAAATATATTAAATATATTCTGAACATTATTTTCTGCTATTTGTATAATCACAAGTAGATTTTTAACTACTCTTTTATGTTTGATGGCAAAAAATATTTTAGTTTCATCAAAAGTACATTTCACAGATAGAGAACTAGAAACGGAAAATCACGAATTTTATTTTCGTTTCAAACATGAAATTGCTTATTATTTTAATTTGTAATTTTCCGAAGAATTGTAAAAATACTTGGCAGTGCTCTTGATTATTATTGTTAATTTGTGTTAGCCATCCATTGCATTTGTATTATAAATTTAGTTCTTTATTTTTACTTGGCAGATAAAGTATCAAGGCCTAATTTATTTTAAGTGTTTATATACAAAATATTTACATTAATTTTCCTTATATTTACACTGATATAGATCCGTAGTTTCCCCTTATATGAAATACTTTTCCATTAATGTAGGTAGGTGAATTATTAATGAAATCGGGATAAATATTTCAAAGTATGAAAAATTTCTAGTTCGTGCTATTGTTTTAAACACATGCCAAGAATAAAGAAAACCTTCCTGATTTAAATCATTGCTTTTCATGTTCATCTGTTTTACTGAACTTTCATGATTTTCAAGAAACAACCAAGTAGCCTATACTGGGAGCCGATCAACTTATATCTCGATCTTTCTATAAGAAAATATGCTATCTTTTAAAATAGTGTTTCTATTGATGTCTACGATACTAAATTCTTAAGTCTATGCTGATAGCAAAATAAAGAACAAACTGGGAGACAATCCCAGTTTTGAAGGGATAATAAAGACTTCTTGCACATTTCTAACAACGATAAAGGTAAACTGAAGGCCCGTACCAATTTTGTATTGTCCCTTTTATCTGTCTCTTAATTCCTTGCTGTTTTCATTAATAGAACTTTACACTGATACTTTATTTGCATATTATGAGCTTATTTTAATCATATCATTTTTTGGAAGAAGTTTTATAGTTAAGAAAGATTTAAGGATCAGTAATGTAATTAATGAATTTACATTTCTATTCAATATCATATTATTTTATTAAATTATCTCAAAATTCCTTTAAAAATCCATATTTTTCCCCGATTCTTTTGAGTAATTTTTAATACAGAAATTACTTTCGAGTAATTTGCAAACAGCGGTTAGCATAATTGCCTAAATCAGAAATCTGTACCTTCCAAATGAATAATTGTTAGGGCGTCCTATTTTTTTCGTACCTAACCGAAAATCGATTTTTTCTTATTTGAAATAGAATTATTATTATTTGAAATAGTAATATAATTCTTCGACACAGAAAATCTATATACATGTATCTTCGAAAACATTTTTAAACATTTTCTAAAAACTATTCCAATTAAATGTAGTTTTCAAGTATTTATGTTATAAATAGCGTAGTCTGTTGATGAAATGTTTTATTGATTATTTTTTACTTCAGTTAGCTTGCAAAACGTTTTTCAATATTATACGTATGTATATTCATAAATGATTAACTAAAGTAATTTTGCTATGCGTGAAAATGATTTTAATTTCTTTTAAGCAATAATTTGAGTTTATGCAACAAATTGCTGCAATGATATCTATTTATGAAGAATTTGTGGAGAAATATCAGAAATTTTCTTACTCGAAATAACTTCCAAATAAATATACCATTTACTCAAATTACGCAAGAAGTACTTGTTGAAATTTTACTAATCAAACGTGCCTATACTTTCAAATTATTTGAAAGTTTTCAAAAACCAAAGCAATATACGTATTTTTTATTTTTGAGCAGCCGAATACTTTGACAATACTAAATGTGTGTTTTATGCAAATTTTAAGTTAGTAAGGGAAAATAATTCATTTTATTTATTGTATATTTATTGCTTAAATTCAGACTCTCGAATATGAATAAAATATTTAGCTTAAGTCTATGCGATACCGTAAATAAAGAATAAACCGATTCCTAATGCGAAAATGTTAAGCTACGTAGATTGTAATAAGAACATATATATGTTATTTTTTTATTAAATCAATTAATTTTTTGTAAAATTTTTCCTTAAAAGAAAAAAAAAATAATTTTTAAAAAACTACACTATTTTAATTTTGAAAATTTAACGTTGCAATTTCTTGATAAATTCTGAAGAAATTTAAGCACTAATGAATAGTTTTGATAGTTGCTCGAAACTTTCTTTAATAAAAAGCTCATTCTAGCTATTTCGTTGCATTTTTGCTTCTTCTAACTATAAATATAATATTAGCTCTTTAAGAGCTAGTGTGCTTTAAATCCTTACTAATGCAGGTAAAACATGCGCAACTATCCGGTATTCTCTCGACATTTTTACCTGATCCTCAGGGTTCCGGTTACATGATGGCCTTCCCCATGAATGACGATCAAGTGGCGGAAGAAAGCGCCCAGGAGGCAGTCAAAATCCTCGCAGAATCTTTGGCCTCAGATGACAATGATGATGACGACGATGATGATGACGAACCCGCAGACGAACAAGAGAAGAAATCCGACGACACAACGGTTGAAGATGCCAAAAATGAACAAACAGAGCAACCTGAACCTATGGGTATTCTTCAAGCTGAACTCGCAGCGGAGGAGGCAGAAAAGCCAACTTTGCCACAAAGACCTTTCTTCAAAAGACCAAAAATTGAAGAACTAAGGAAAATCTTAGGTTTCCCTCCTCCAGAAGGTCCAGCTGCTAAATCCAAACCCATTCCTCAGGAGAAACCTAAGGTATTCCAAAACATGTTTAACAAACCTAAACCAAAAATTGAACAATCACCACTTGGCGGACTTCAGTTTAATTTGAGAAGAGAGGACCGATTGCGGCCTTTCGGTTTCCCTATGCTTCCTCTGAAAAGGGATGACAGTTTCAGGCCCTTTGGATTTCCTGATCTCGTCCAAGCTGCTTCAAGCATTCTTAGAAGAGCAATACTAGATGACAACAATGAAAATGATATAAGTAAAGATGATAAAGAAGAAGAACAAAATATTAATGAGACTGGTCCAGAAGAAAATGAAGAGGAAGATGATGATGAAGATTCCCTCATGATTGTTCCAATTCCTGAGCCAAAGGAAGTTACTATTGAGAGACCACCATTATTCCGCCGATTCCCTATCCCCTTCCCTTTCCCTGTAACTAAACCAATGCCACAAAGCAGGCCTCGTCTTCCTTTCCCTCCTCTAACACCAGTGGCTTTCTTCCTCCCCATAGCTCAACAAATAATGCAAAACATTCGTCATGCCCAACCTAGATCCCAACCTCCTATGGTCCCATTATCTCACATGCATCCCATGCAAAATCTAATACCAATACAGACGCAGATTCCGATAGTTCCTATTCATCATCCAATGCAAATGCAGCAAACCCAACAACAGCAACAGATTATTCCCCTCCACCATCCTATGATTCCCGTACAACAACCTATCCAACAAATTGTTCCTTTCTTCCCTATGCCTCAAGCCGCTTTCCATGTACCAATACTAACACCTCTTCCACCTAACATGCAACGTCCAATGATGCGCCAAATGCCGCGAAGAATGCCCATGCATGCACCACCTCCACCTCAAGTTCCCCGAAGATTACCCTTCCCTAGTCCAATGAGTCGTATGGCAGGTCATCAACCACACCACCCCCTTCAACCACAAATTATTAATCCCATGGTCAGAAGACCAATGCAAGCTTCCCCTAATACCCGTCCTATGCCGCGAGTGGTCCGCCCACCCATGCCTCCTGTTCACCCAGTCTTTTTTATGATGGCACCGATTCCAGTTCCTAATATACATGTGCCAATCGCACAAGCACAGCAGCAAGTGCCAGTGTATCACAGGCCCCAGAATGTGCCTTTCCTCCCACAACACATGACATTAATTCCCCAGCAACGTCCACATTTGCAGCCTATGCAAACATCAGAAGAAGAACGCGTCATATTCCTCAGGCCAGAACAAGAAGATCAGGATGATGACCAGGAAGTTCTAATCCTTGTACCTAGCGATGAAGTAGAAGTCGCTCAAAGACCACCAGTTATGCCACCACAGTTTATGAGACAGATGCCAACACCTGTGATCAGTCCTCTTCAGAGGATCAAGCTATTACGCGACCTCCTAATGGCCCGACAAGCAAACCGACAAACTATGTCTCCTCAAAGTCGAGCCTCAAGAGTGGTCGAGATTGTACAACAGCAACTCCGAATATTTCCTGCTCATCATCCACAAGCTCATCTTCCTCAACCTCAAAGAGCAGATTCAAGTGAGTTGCACCCGGTATATGTTCCTTATCCCGGAGCTCAGTAAAGAAGGAGAAGTGGGACATCTCCTTCCATTTGGACTCATTAGTGCATCGAGTACATAAAAAAATTTCCATCTGTCGTGACATCATTTGAATATTGGCTCATCGCGGATTAATTTGGCAGCAGGGATGTCAGATTAATTTATGTGACTTATTGTTCTCGACAAAAACGTAAGATCTCACTTTTAATTTTAAATGTTATTACCTGTTTAATTGTCTGTGAAGAAAATAGGTAAAATGCAGGTTCGGTTTTATCAGAGTCAGCGATAAAACGAGGATAATAAATATCTAATTTATCTGTCATGCAAAGTAGGCCTTCACAATTGAAAAGAGAAAAAAACTGAGTAAACAAATTAAAAAAAAAAAAAAAAAAGAAAATGAAAAGAGTAATCATGGAAGACCACATTGAAGGTTGTTGTTTACAAAAATATTGTGATCTGGCATCCCTGTTCAACGGAACTTAATGATTGGTGGACGAAAATTGCTTTCCGAGCTGTAAAAGAAAAATTTTATTTCTTTACAAGAAAGCGGGAAAGAAAATTGTAAAATATTTAAGACATAAATCATTGTTTATATTTTCCTCATATGTATATAATTATATATATAGCTATAATATTAACTAATCAGCTTTAATTTAAGGTTTTGAAATTATACGATTTAATAATCAAATTAGTTACATCAATTTTTGTCTCTATCACAGGAAAACGGTTATTCACTGGCTTATATTGTAAAATAAGCGAGTAATAGTCGCAGTTTTCTCCACCTACAAGTAATCATTAAGTTTCGTAAAATGTAAAATTCTGTACGGTGCAATACCTTTTGTAAAATATTGAATTCAGTACCACTCAGTATTATAATAATGAAAATATATCAACTGCAAAATTTGAACTTTAAAATTTAAATCGACAGATATATTGGCATAAATGTAAAACTTCAGTAAAAAAAAAAAAGAAAATTTTACTTGGTTGGATGTCTGTAAAAAGAATAAAGTAACGCACATTTAACAGCTTGATTGTGTATAGGCCTATACCCTAACTAATGAAGGTTAGTGGTTCAAAATGTACAAAGAATAATAAATGCTTTATAAAATTGATTTTCGTATTTCGCAGTTATTGTACAACCAAGAATGATTTGTAAATTTCTTTTCATAAATAATTCAGCGTAGAAATAATTTTTAAATAAATGTATTTGTAAAATAAAAACTTTGTTTTAAGTTTGTGTGATGGTGTTATTTTGTGCTTTAATTAGTATGCCATGCGTTTAACTGCATCCTTCGGAGTAGTTTCTGGAAATATTCTATTTAATCAACTTTAGAAAAGTTCATGAACAAAGAATTTTATTTGATTTTAACCAAACACATTTTCTCGCAGAATTCTTAGTTTGTGAAAGATAACCCAGGAAATAAAACCCTTGTTGACACAATCTGGAAACAATCTAATGTTACAGTTAAAATTATCTAGAAAAATCTAACTTAATACATAAAGAATTATTGATGCACACATTAAGATCTTCTTCAATCTTCGCTTTACATTTGATCAGTCAGGTATATGGTTTTTCAAGTTATCAAATAAATTAGTCACGACTCCCGTACTCTTTACATTAATATTATCTATATAAATATAAGATTTAGAACAAAATTTGCAAGAGAAAGGAGCATAGTTTGAAGCTGAACTATCATATAATTTGTAAATGATTTTTTCTGAAGTCTATTCTTATTCCCCCCTCTTTTGTCGAAAAAAAGGAAAGAGTGAAAGAACGGAAAAGTGTTTACTAACAATACAAAATAACTCAATTCGGAAGATATCTAAATAAAAAATGTTACATTGTGTTCCCGTATTTCTTTTAATTTGTCGTTAACTTGTTCTTGGTAATGGGTTCAGCAAAGAAGGGGGGGAATAAACAAGTAATTCTTTCCTAAAAGCTATTTGTAATACTTGATCGCACACTTCCCAATTTCATTTAAGGAATTTTCTTTAAGCAAACTTTGGAAATTTTATGTTTTAAAAAATTGGAATAGTAAGATATTCGATGTTAACTAACACACACACACACACCACACAAAAAAAAAAAAAAAAAAAAAAAAAAAAAAACAGACGTTTATTATATGCCAGTTCTCTTCATGCATTTTAAACTAGGATAATTCTGCATTTTATTTGTTAAATACTATTATAAAAAAGTAAGTACATATAAATTTAGCAAAACAGGGAAAGGAATTAACAAAGATATAAGATTTATGTTAATTAACAAAGATATAAGATAATTAACAAAGGTATAAGATCATTGAAACTATAATTATGAAGAGTCGCGCTCTCATTTAGGTTCCAAATAAAATATTAGAGAAGGAAATATAACTTTCCTGCTTGATATAGATTCTTACTTTTTAGACCAAAAAATTAAGTCAAAAGTTCAAATTTTTAAGCAAAATGAGAGTGAATATATATATATATATATATATATATATATATATATATATATATATGTATATATATAAAAGAAACATAATATAATAGGCTAGAAATTGAAAACCAAAATGTTTTTAACTCGTCCTGCGCTATAGCCGCAGGATTGAAGTAAAATAAACTTAAAAGCATCTAAAGTTAAAACTAAATTGGAATCAAAGCAAGGCATTTCTTCAACAATATTAATAATTGCAACCGTGTATAAGGGGCTTAATATCTAAAGAAATCAAAATTGAAATAAGAATTCACAGTAGAACAAACTCGAAAAAAAAGTGCGAAAGGGAAAATACACAAAATTATAAAAATATAAAAATTAATCTCCTTTTACTGAAACTCCAATTCAGAACTCATCAGGGTAAAATTAATTAAAGCTTCATAAAAGTCGATTAATATGTTTAGAAAACATGTTTTGTTCTCCTGGTTCATTTGAGATCAAAAACCGAAAAAAGAATTCATAAACTAGCAAAATTTTAGAAAATATCAAATGAATATTATAAACTATTAAAATCGCGCAGTATGTTATGAAATTATTTAAATAACCTAACGATAATAATTAAATCAAAAATTAAACCAAGAAAGTGGTTAACAGTCTAACTCGAGAATATTTCCTGTACAGATCGAAAGAAGATTAGAACAGGAAATATACGGATCAAAACTGAAATAAAAACAATTCAATAAAATTAATATAATATATCATTATAAAATTAATTTAAAAGTTACATACAATTGTTAAAAATTCCATGATATTTTTCAAGGAGAAGTCGAAGAATTTTCAACAGAACCACATTTATATCTGAATGAGCATCACAATTATATCTGGATTATGAATTATTAAAATAATTTATCTTAAAATGATTAAAAATAATTTAATTTTTTTAATAATTAAAAATTAGTAATTTAAAAATTACCATTTAAGAATAATTTAATTAAAATTATCAACTAAAGGCTTTTAAAAGTTCAACAGAGCAAAATTTTTTATTAAATATTTTATTTAATTAATCATTAAGATATAATCTGCTCGACGTGACCCTAAAACAAAAATTTCTGTAAAAATAAGCAAAATAATAAGAATTCTCGAGTAAGAAACTAGAAAAAGTATTAGGTAATGTGCTAAATATATATTTAAATAGTCCGTCTATGTCTTTTACTAACAAATGTCCATTTCTATTCCATTCCTAAAATTATACGCCAAATAGGTAAGAAGACTTTTTACTGTTACTTCCTTTTTTATTTTTCACAACTTTTTCCTCTCCGCATTACCTACATATTACTCCTCTTAAAAATCTTTTTACATGAAATTTTTTTTTCTATTTAAAATTTCTCGCACATAATTCATTTACTTCTGTTAATTTAAAAAAATAAAAAATATATAAAAATTCATTTCTTTCCACGACTTATTCTGAAATTTTAAAAAAGTTCATTTTATTATTTTTTAGGATTTACTTTATTTATTAATTATCTATAATTAGGTTTCTATAATTAAATTTAATAATACGAAATAAATTCCTATTTAATCTCAAATTTAGCACTAGTTTACAATCTCCAACATTTTCATTTTTCAGTTTTTCAGGATACTTCTTTATACCTCATCTCAATTCTTGCTATTTATTTTTTCCATTTATCATACTTTCCATATTCAACTCGACTCTATTTTCTAAACAGCATTCTATAAAGTCACACAGAAAATTATCATGTGGCAGTAACGCTTCATTCAGGTTTAATTTTCCTTTTAATAATTTAATTCCTTCTAATTAATATAATTTTAAATAATCCATTCAAATTAATTTATTTTATTTAATTGATTCAGTTTTATTTAAAATTTTTCCAATTTTAGGCATATTGCCTTTTTTCTGCATTTGAGAGGAATTCTCCTCCAGTTCTATCTTTTTAAAACCAGCAAAATTTATTCAGTGATGAATACAAGTGTTGTAAATTGTAAGTGTAAAATAGCAGTGATAATTCTTTATTTGCAACTGATTTAAGCGAAGAATAAAAACTTTTGAAACTTTTGCTAAATTTCGATTTGCTCACCAGTGTTGTGGACAACACATTACCAGCGATGTGGAAACTCTAAGTATACCTGCAGCTATGCTTTTTCTGTAATGGTTTGAATGGAACGATTTGTTGCATGAAGAATCTCTGGAACAGTTCTGAAATGAATGCTATGAAGTAGTTCCTTCATCTGAAGTATTAAATTAGAGGGTTTTAAGTCTTGTCCCTGAATATTGTTCTTTAAACTCATGAGAGGAGGAGGGGGAGAATACTGCTTCTTCTTCCGTAAAGTTAATGTCCGAAGTTGTTTCACTGTTGGGGTCCTGATAGACGTAGTGACCGGTAATGACGCCGCGCATTCGACTCCGTTTTGACTAATAAGATCTAACCCATGAAATTTATGCGAGAAATATACAAATTGATAAAAAAGTACTTTTATTAGTCATTATGACCCAACATCCGTTAATATCTATCACTAATAGAACAATGTCTTTTGTAGCATTATCTGATTCGAGTAGGGATAATAAAATGTATAAGACTGAAAAATAATGCTATCTTTTCCAGGAGTTAATACGAACAATCCTGATATCTACTTTATCAAATCACTGTTAAAGTTTAATAACTGTGATTGCTATGTGTTCATTCTTTTAAAAATAAAACAATACTAAAATATATACAGATGGAGGACAAAATAATGCGGACACCTGTGAAAATGCATGACGTATTTTACAGTTGCAGTGCAGCCGCGCCACCTGTAACAGAAATCTGCCAACTAGTGAGCGTGAGAAGGAAGTGTGGTGTAGTGGCCGAAACTGCTATGCAAACCCTGGGTTGTGACATCAGGTTCAAAACAAAACACAACATAAAAATTTTATTGAAAGAAAAAAAAAAAAAAAAAAAAAAAATGGCTACATACAATTCCGCAGAGAAAAACCTTTCTCTCTCAAAAATCAAATTCTATACATTTTTCGTGCGAGAGCAATTCGTGGCTCTCGAGCTTGCGTTTTTAACATTGCCAACGATTTAATTATTTTAATAAAGACTATTTTAATAACTAATGAAAACGTATTTGTAAGTTGAAAAAAATAATCATTTTCAGCTTATTCTCACGAGACATCCTTGTCCATATTAATCTTCAGTCTCTTCTTCTTTTATGTGACCTTATCACAGCTGGTATAATCAGTCTCTCAACAGCAGTCACCAGCGTTGCATGCTTCGATAGAATTGTCTGTGAGAAGTTGAACTGTCAGAGTTCCAAAGAGGAATGATAGTTGGAGCGCGTTCAAGTGGAGCATCGGTTCCGGAAACAGCAAACCTTGTGGGGTGTGCAAGGAGTAGGGTATCAGCCGTTATGACAGTATACACGAAAGAGGGTAAGGCGACGTCTTCAAAGCACAACAGTGGCCGAAAGTCAAAGTTAGCTGATAGGGGCAGACGGGTCTTGAAGCACATAGTAGCCCGAAGGCACAAGCAATCGTTATCCGAGATAACATTCGAAATGAACAGTCATCTCCAGGACCCCGTTTCAATAAAAATTGTCAAAAGAGAGCTTCATGCTGCGAACATTTATGACTGAGTGGCAATTCGGAAACTCTTGGTGACAGCAACTAATGCTTTCAAGCTTTCAAGCGACTCCAATGGTACAAAGATCACAAAGGCTGGCTCCCACAGCAGTGGAAACAAGTAATATGGTGAGATGAATCGTTATTCACCCTATTTCAGACGACCGGACGCGTTTATGTCTGGAGAATGCTCAAAGAAG